CATGACTGTTCAGCATGTGTAGGATGTATCCAGTGTCACTGAACAACTTGTATAAAAGCTGTTGAATGGGAACCTAAACTGCTGTGTAAACCTTCACCAAAAACAGTAAATTAGAGTAATAACTGCATCTTGTTGGGTGCTGTAGGATAAGCTAACCACAAGTTTGGTGTTCAAACCCACCAACCACTCCTATACAAGGTTCCTCTGAGTCCAAACGGACTCCTGGGCCCTTAGCAACAACTGAGGAGATGAAAACAACAGCCGAGAGGGAGGGGACAGATTCAGGTTCAGCCAGTGGGGGTGGGGGTGGAGGGAGTGGGACTTCTGGGCGGATGGTGCGTGCCGGAGGAAGGGGCACTGCAGGAGTGGGGCTATGGAAGGAGTGGTGAGGGACAGAGGGGTGTCAGCAGGACTGGGGCTCTGGGGGCAGGGACAGCGGGCAGCAGGCGAAGCACTCACAGTGATGGGAAAGAGCCTCCCGGGCACCTGTACCACTGGGGCACCACCGAAGTAGCTGGAGAAGAGCGTGATGTTGATGGTGGCCGACATGAGAACGACTTTGAGGTCGGGCCTCCGGGGCAGCAGGCGCCGCAACACACCCAGGAGGAAGTCATTGTGGAGGTGCCGCTCATGGACCTCGTCCACGATCAGGACCTGGTACTGGGGCAGGTCGGGCTCCCGTTGGATTTGTCTGAGGAGCAGCCCCACAGTCAGGAACACGATTTTGGTGGCCGACGAACGCGTGCTCTCGAAGCGGATCTGGTAGCCGACCTGCAGTGGACCAGGAGAGTGTCTTGGTTATCTACCCAATACTGCGGGGTCCATGCCGATTCATAGCAGGCAGGATAGGGCAGAACTGCTCCACTGGTTTCCCAGGCTGTAAACCTTTACTGAAGGAGCTCTGGTAGCGTAGTGGTCAGCAGTTTGAAACTACCAGCTGTTTGTGGGAGAAAGATGAGGCTTTCTGCTCTCGTAAAGATTAACAGCCTCGGAAACCCTGTACAGGGTTCACTATGAGTTGGAACCGACTCCACAGCACATAACAACAACAACAAACCTTTACTGAAACAGGAGTGGGTGTGAATTATCAACCTTGGGGTTAGCAGCCTGTCGATACAACCTTGGACAGTTCTACTCTGCCCTAGAGGACTGCTATGAGTCTATATCGATGGACTTG